ACAGACTTGACGTGGAATTCACATTTCTCAGCTTTGACAAAGAGCTTGTTTTCCAAGAGGCGTTCCAGAACCAGGCGGACATGGGATTCATGCTCCTCACTGCAGGAAAAAAATCAGGATATCATCAAAATACACAAAAACAAATCTGTTCAGAAAATCTCTTAAAACGTCATTAACCAAACACTGGAAGACAGCGGGCGCATTTGTGAGGCCAAAGGGCATGACCAAATATTCAAAATGGCCCAGCGGAGTGTTGAAGGCTGTCTTCCATTCATCGCCCTTCTTTATGCGAACCAGGTGGTACGCGTTCCGGAGATCCAATTTGGTGAAGATTGTAGCTCCCTGGAGAGGCTCAAATGCAGATGAGATTAACGGCAATGGATATTTGTTCTTAACAGTAATATCATTGAGCCCCCGGAAATCAATACAGGGGCGAAGAGTTTTATCCTTCTCCACAAAAAAGAACCCTGCTCCAAGTGGTGAGGAGGAGGGCCGAATGATACCTGCTGCCAGAGAGTCCTTGATATACACCTCCATAGCTTGTCGTTCAGGCCGTGACAGATTGTACAAACGCCCAGCAGGAAGGGATGATCCCGGAAGAAGATCAATGGCACAATCGTAAGGCCTGTGAGGAGGGAGTGACAGCGCCCTCTCTTTACTGAAGACCTCACCCAGAAAATGATAGACTGCAGGAACAGAAGACAGGTCTGGGGGCTTCGATTTAGTTTCTGGTGCGCCATCTGTGGGTGGAACAGCAGACTGGAGACAGGTTGAGTGACAAAAAGTGCTCCTACTTATTTTCCCTTCCGACCAATCAATTAAGGGATTGTGTACTTTGAGCCAGGGAAAACCCAAAACTAGGGGACACTGAGGGGAATCAAAAACATAAAAACGAATAGACTCATTGTGGTTTCCCGAAAGAACAACATGAATGGGAACAGTCTGATGCGTAACATGAGCCAGAAGGGAGCCATTAAGTGCGCTGATCCTAATAGGTTTCCGGAGTGCCTCCAGAGAAATGCCAACTTGCTTGACAAGATTGGTATCCAAAAAACATTGTTCTGCTCCAGAATCAATTAAGGCTTGTAGGGGTATGGTCTGGTTAGCGTAACAAAGGGAGGCTTGAATTTGTAAACGTGGGTAATCGTAGTCTTGTTTCTTGCTCACCAATACACCCACACCTACTGGCGAGCTTGGTCTTTTGGGCAGAGTGGACAGGTGCGAAGAAAATGTCCCGATTGACCACAGTAAAGGCACTCACCAGAGCGGATTCTTTGGCGCTCGGCAAGAGTCAGGTGGGCCCGACCAAGCTGCATGGGTTCCTCAGGAGGGACAGAAAGCAACGGCTGAGGCTGCGATGCTCTGGGAACAGACCGGAATTCAGGTGGAGTGACAGGATTAACAACAGGTGCGCCGGAGAACTTAATGTTTCTCTCTCGTCTCCTCTCCCGTAACCGGTTGTCTAAACGAATGGACAGAGAAATCAAGGCATCCAAAGAGTCACATTCATCTCTTAAGGCAATTTCGTCCTTCATGGTCTCACTCAACCCATACTGATATGCTCCCCTGAGTGCCTGATCATTCCAACCAGATTCAGCTGCTAATATCCTAAAATCAATAGAATATTCTGCCACACTGCGTTGACCTTGGCGAAGGTTTAACAGTCTCTTGGCAGCATCTGCAGCAATATCTGGGTGGGCAAAAACTTTCTTGAATTCGGCCAAGAACATAGCAAAGGACATAGCATTAGCATTGAGTACAGCATGTGCCCAATCCAGTGCTCGCCCCCTTAATAATCCAGTAAAAAAACATAGCTTGGTCAGATGAAAAAGTCTCAGGCCGTTGGTTAAATACATGAGAACATCGGAGGAGGAAACCTTTAGATTTACCGACCTCACCACAGAAGGGCTCAGGAGGAGGTACGGGGGACTCATGGGTAGCAGATGGGACCAAAGGTACAGCACTCTGACTAGGTGGAGTTGGATTTATACTCAAACGAACATCTAGCTTGTTAGCCAAATCTTCCACCAATTGTCCAATCTGGGTTACCTGCTGTCCAAGCGTTCCTTGTGCTCCCATGAGATTCTGAAGCATTTGATGATGGGCGGCGAGAAGCGAATCATGGCTGGAGAGTGTATGCTCCATCGGATCCGTCGTTGCTGGGTCCATGTTTGGGCCAGATCGTACTGTTATGTCGAAAGGATTGAACCCAAATGCACCGGACGGTTAACAGGATTTATTGACAGTTGAATGAAGGTAGAACAGGTGAGCAGGAACTGGAATTGGCTTGGACACTGGAGCGGAATGGCAGAGGAGATACGGGTGAGGGGGCTGGCAACTGGCACGAAAATCTGTGAGCATAGAGAAACAGGATCAAAACGGGGATATCAAAAACTAGCACAAAAATAGCAAAAGCCTTGGGTGTAGCCTCACGGTGTAGACTGACGATCTGGCAGAGGACTGAAGAAATGCCCAGGTTTAAATGCAGAGCTGATGCATGATGAGGAGCAGGTGTGCAGGCCAGCCAGGAACAGAGAGCAGGAATGGTCACGCCCACAGTAGCAGGAACAGGAGGGAGGGGGTGAGGAGCTCACAGGGAGCTCAATACCATAACATCTGTGGATGTTCGCTTGCTGTAGGTCCAAAAGAGGAAACCCAGAAATTAGTTTTTCCATTATCCATTTGGGGATATATAATATATACAAATTCTAATTTTGCATCAACGTGCCAATATTGTGTTTCCTAATGATAGGAAATTACTGGAGGAATGGGGAAATGCATGCTCAACATTTGGGATGCTACTGTACGGGACTTTCTTTTGGATGGCTGTCTCGCTGTGTAAGCAGTAAGGCAAGGCAAGGCAAGGCAAGTTTATTTGTATAGCACAATTCATACACAAGGCAACTCAAAGTGCTGAACAAGATAGCATTAAAATCATAAATAATCACAGAACATTAAAAAGAAAGATAAAAATATAAAATCCCTCAGTTGTATGCACAGTTAAACAGCACCGTTTTTAACCTGGTTTTAAACATTGTCAGAGAGGAGGCCTGTCTCACATCTTCAGGAAGATTGTTCCAGATTTTAGCAGCATGAATCTGAAAAGCAGCCTCCCCATGTTTAGTCCTGACTCTGGGCACTAACAGGAGTCCAGTCCCTGTGCTCCTCAGAGTCCGGGCTGGTTCGTATGGTACTAACATGTCACTAATAATAATAATAATAATAATAATGCATCGGTTTTATATAGTGCTTTTTTGGACACTCAAAGACACTTCACATGTGTCATTATTCATTCACTCCATACATGGTGGTGATAAACTACTACTGTAGCCACAGCTGCCCTGGGGCACACTGACAGAAGCGAGGCAACCAGTATGCGCCATCGGCCCCTCCGACCACCACCAACCATTCACACACACCAGACTCATTCCAGGCAATGGGGGTGAAGTGTCTTGCCTAAGGACACAACGGCAGTTTGGCACTTTACAGCCGCAGCCGCCCCACTGTGGCTGGTGTTCCCAGAGATTAAGTGTCTTGCCAAGGACACAACGACAGCAGACAGTGGGAGTCGATGGTGAAAGTCTTGAGCGGGGCTTGAACCCACGACCTTCTGGCAACAGAGCTTGACTTGTTTTAAAGTCAAGCTCTGCTTGACTTTAAAACAAGTAGAGCTGTTTTAAAGTCTATTCTCTGAGCAAGCACAGGAAGCCAGTGCAGAGACCTGAGGACCGGACTAATGTGGTCGTACTTCCTGGTTCTAGTCAGGACTCGAGCTGCTGCATTTTGAATGTACTGCAGCTGTTTTACAGCCTGTAACTGATGACTAAGACGAGGAAGTTTCAGGTTAGCTCCGTCGCTTGTTGTGCTAACTCAGCCGTCTATGCTAACGAAGACCTCACGAAAGTGGGGGCCAGTGGTCCGCTGTGATTGGTCACAATCTGAGACCCAAAACACATTCTCTTCTTTGTTTCATCAAAACTTAATCTAAAATGTAATGTCACACCAGCACAAATCTGCGCTACTTTTTCTTCAAAAGAACGTATATCCCAATGCACTACATGACATGGATAGCATTTTCGTAATGAATACGAAAATAAAGTCAGTTAGAGCAGCTTTAAACAGTGCGTAATACTCTCTTAACAGAATTCAAAGTTATGACGACTTTAGCTTCCAACTTTCCTGCCGGATATTAAAGTGAACCCAAAATAGGGAAAACATTCCATTGAGTGTTTAACAGCTACAGCCATTTTTTTTTCAGTCAATTGATTCTGTTTGATGTTTGGGGAGATCACAGCAATCTTCCATACAATGTCTTCAATAGGAAAGGGTCCATGAGGTCATATATTTTTGCTTAGGGCCCCCAGAAGGCTTAGACCAGCACTGCTGATGAGAGCAGCAGTTCTTGATAAGACAGAGGTCTGTGATAGATCCATGGGTCTAACTCACTCTGATCTGATGTGTGCTCCACGTGAGAGGGGCGTGGTCTGGTGACAGCACTGGATTTATGTGCACGTGTAATCAAATTAAGGTTAGTCCAATGGTCAATAAATCAATATACCTCCCAGTTTACACGTTTAAGGCTAGCAGACTTTCTCACGTTAATTGGATATTGGCTACAAAGAAAGAAGCCGCCATGTTTGTAAGAGATATGTGTGCGCATGCGTCAATAAAATAATATTAGGATTCTTCTCCCGCCTTTCACGTGTCTGCTGTCGTTAAGAGGGTATGCGTCTCTCCTGGTATTTCTTCCTACTAACATCTTAGTCCTCAGTATACTTCTTAGTTCTCTCAAATATAAACTTGGGTAGTATAAATTTGGCGAAATGTTAACAAGCTTTTTATTTGCAATTCAAACTCTCTTTGTCTGTCAAACTCTCTGAAGTCTGTTTTACTGTAGAGAGAGGAACCATGTATGCCATAGACTGGTCTTACACAGAACCAGACCTACAATGTGCTTTTCCATCCCAGTTTGACGGGAGTGAGCTTGGCGCTTGCTGAGGATGTTCCCTTCTCCACCGCGAGGGGGAGCTGCTGCTGCCGCCGCGGAGCGAGCCGCCCGCGTGCGTGTGCGTGTGCGCGGACCACTGCTGCAGCGGAGGAGGAGAGCAGGGACACAGCACACACTCACGCCGTCCCCAGAGCCACACATACATACACACACACACACACGCACACGGTCCCCACATCCAGGCTACAGCATCTCCTCCATACACCGCGGACCTACCCGGGAGAAACGGCGCGACACGCACGGTAAGTCTGCTACACAGGCTCTACACGCCCCGGGTATAATAATGCGTTTTCGTTTCTCCGCTTGTCGCAGTGGAGGTGTCAAAAAACGCTTCTGATTCGCTCTCACAGACTGTTTTTTTATCTTTACGTTTTATCTTTACAGGTGCATATGCTGTAGCAGACTATAGACTACAGCAATATGGAGGCTCTCTGTTTGTGGCGTTTAGATGGGTCAGGTTCGTGAGCATCAAAGGCACAGCGCTGCAGCCGATGTCTTGAAAGGAGGGAGGAGGGAAGGCGCACACATTCATGTATACGCTGTGTTTATCTGTTGTGTGGAGATATAAAAAAACAGAGGCTGCAGCAGCGCGCATTGCATTGCTTTTTGTCGTGAGTATACCGGCCGGTGCAGTGTGATGTGGCCCACTGCGCTGAGCGGATTATTTGATGTCTGCCAGAGATGCTCCAGCTGTAGACTCTTCCCTTGTGTGTCATCTGCAGAGAATTAACCCGAGGAAATGCCCTCATCACGCTTAGACTTAGCTCGTTTGCTGCAATTCAGTAGTGTATGATGTATAGCCTTTTCTTTGCCATAGTCAGGAGTCCCTTGTACCAACATGGCACCATCCTCAGCCTCCTCTGCTTTATTATTGATCAGCAATTTTCATTCAGCCCATGCACTTCGTGAATTCGTTGCATAAGCCAATTCACATAATCTTTTTTCGTTCTTGTCTTCAGTATGTGAAGTTGAGGTTCATGTGCCAATTTCTATGGAAAAAAATCTATTTGGAAATGACAACAAAATGTGACCATAGTTATTGCTCAAATTGTGTTGTGTCAGACTTTGATTTAAGCATGTGTATTTCTAAGGTGTCATTTACGGTTTTGGAGCCCACGCTTATAAGTTAATGGAGCTTCCTGGGAGTTCCCTTTTACAAAGCACCTACAAATAATATAAAAAGTAAAGTGTATGGATGCGTATAAATACTTTATTTTGTCAATTTATGCTATAGACAGTGTTTTGGCTAACTCATAAGATCAACTGTAAACTTGACATGCATTTTTACTATTGATTTATTTGTTTCCAGCAGTAGTGCTATCATTGACATAAGAAAATACACTATAATTGATAGTTTATTTCACCATTATTGGACTCACCTCATTCATTTGAGAGTTTGGGCTTCTTATTTATTATTAAGCCATAACATGTGCAATTATGTCTAGTTTTTAAAGCTGGGGTAACTAATTTATATCCATCTAACTGTGTTCCTCTCAAATTACAGTTTGTTTACATTTCTAGAATTACATGCATGCATTTTTGGCCTTTGTCACATATTTCTAGATCAGCTTTATCAGGAAAAAAGCATCAAAAAGTGACTCACATAGCTCACACATAATATGCTTTGTTTATGCTGTATAAAGACAGCATTTTGTGGTCAGGTTTGTTCACAACATTTTTATTTAGCAATCCTTTTGGACAAACAGAATGTTTTGTTAACATTAACAAGTTAGGTAACTCAACTTTAAAGGGCTAAATGATGCATGATACGCACAAATAAATGTATAAGTCTATTTTACCAGATATCCTTAATTTTTCTTAGTATTTTCATTTAGACTAAGTAAAATATGATTGTCAACACTTCAACCATTTGTACCCTGTGTGTTTTTATACCTGTGCCTCTCCTATTTTAGCTCCGATTTGACGGAGACTTCATGTTGTCACGATGAGCAGTTCAACCCCTCTATCTCTGCTGCGACCGTATCCCATGGAGACGTCAGCAGACATGACTTCAGCCTGTCCCCAGACTGTCAGGCAGAACCCAACCATTACTCTTGCGCGTACACACACACACACACACACACACACACACACACACACACACACACACACACACACACACACACACACACACACACACACACACACACACACACACACTCACACTCACACTCACACTCACACTCACACTCACACTGTCAATGTCATCTTTTACGGCTGCATTTAACTATGGGTCATTAGATACACTCAGGTGATGGGGATTACAGTTGGTTAGGGGGCTTTAGTTGTCTGCCACACTTTCAGTTAAACCATGGCGCATATTGACACCAGAAAAACACAAAAAGGGAAAATCTAATTGGACCTTTAATTGCAAGTCAGTACTGTATTGAGAGGTGCCATTTTCACTAGCATGCAAATGCGATTGGTTGTGGTAGTCATTTAAAGGAATAGGCCACTGTTTTTACATACTGACATTAGGGGTGGGCGATATGGCCTAAAATTCATATCGCGGTATGATTTGGGTCACAGACGGTAGACGGTATACATCACGGTATAATTTGGTGTGTGAATTTCAATATAGGTTTAGCAGGTTCTTGCATAAAATAGTCAAGATTGTTACTTATCTATACATTAGAATCTGATATATATTTTTTGAGTTTGAAAATCAGGTGAGAGACAAATGCTGTAACATACATTATTTATGTATGTTACAGTAAAGACCATTTACTGTGAAAGCAATTTTAAATAATATAAAAATATAAAATATATTATATAATATCTGTAGCAGTTAGACATGGTCATTATTTATAGTGTCAGAGTTTAGTGCGTATGCATGGCTTCAGTAAAAGCTATTGTTCGTTTACAAAGCTAGTCTTGCCATTTGTTGACGCTCCCTAAGCGCTTGCTGTGAACTGGATAATTCAATGGATTTATCTGCATCAAAACAGCGCATTTGATTTGAACAATTGATGTAAATGCTCATTTTGGCACAATTAATTTTGTTTAACAAAGTAGCTTTCGTGATCTATTGACCGCGGAGGTCCGAATCGGACGCTAACTTTACCAAACTTCTGAGATGATGCGGACACGGCACACGCATGGATCTATTTTGGCTCACGCTGGCGCTTCGAGCCTACGCCCCTTTGACACTCATTGGCCGAAAGGTAGACATGTAAACTGTGATTGCTGTGTGTGTATTTACCTCCGCTGGGGCCGCTGTGACCAATACAGAGACAGAAACACGGTGTGAAAGCCGTGCTGTTGTTTCCAGTGGTGTCTGCTAGGCTAATGTGCTAGGCTAATGCTGCTGAATGCCGGTTTGTTTGGTGCTTTCTGCTGGCGTCAGAGCCTGCGCAATTTGATGACATAATGACCTATCGCAATATGCCGGTATAACAAAAATCTCTACCGTGGGCCAAATTTATACCGCATACCGCTTATACCGTTTATACCGCCCAGCCCTAACTGACATATGTTCTTACCTTAGCTTAGACTAGTTGATATGTACCTGTCTGGTCTTTGTCCGTGCGCTCTGTCATGCAAACGGAGCACAAACTCAGCCTCTTCCACAGACTGTATAGTACCAAATCAGCTCCCGTTAGAAGCTACCAAACTCTTCCACGTGTTCCCTATTTAAATACAGTTACGTGACGTGTTACACTACAACAGGGGTGGCCAACCAGTCAGAGACTAAGAGCCAATTTTTTTTACTGTGTTACAGCAAAGAGCCACATCATACAAATGTGCACTACATAAACATCACCCCAACCCTTACACACGCACACACACGCGCACGTACTGTACGCACACGAGCAGACACGCGCACACACATGCAATCTGTCTGAGCAGAGAGAGGTGTGCTCTGCTCAGACAGATTTATTGTAAATGTCATCAACATGATAATGACAGAAATTGACTCGTACAGCACTAAAGGGCTGGACTCGACTCTCCCTGGTTTGCGGGCGCTTCCACCGCTCGCTTTAACCGCTCCCCGGTACTTTTTATTAATGGTTTGGCCCTGGTTCTAACCGGGCGAGTCAATACCAGAACAATTTCACGTCAGCGAACATCAATTATGATTCCGAAATGAATGCTTTCAATCTCTAACCAAGAAAAAAAAATCAAGTTTCAACCCAGTGTTCAGCAGAAACACAACTGTCTTTAATAAAAGATATAGATTTGACACATAACACCAACACCACTTTAGCTGATTTAGAACCACAGACACATGCTCAGTATAAGACCAGATAGTTTCGCATTTGATTGAAGACAGACACTCACCAGGCAGAGTTGGCTCATCTCCTGGTGTAATGCTAGTTGTTGTTAGCTGGTTTTAGCATGTTAGCCGGTGTTAGCCGATGTCCGTAAATGTAATCCATTTGGTCAAACCACCTCCAGACTTTTCGGGTCTGCCTCTACTTCTGCTGCTGCGATCTTTCATTTCACGGTTGTCACTTTTAAGCTTTTTAACTTTTCTCTGCATTGTCATGTTTGTGGGAATCATTCTGCTCCGTCCTTAGTGCTAGCTCCACAAACACCTTCTGGTTTCTGGTGGAACCAGCGAGATCAGGCTGGTGTCCTCTCCTCAAACTGAGGAAGGTGTTGCCCTCATCCAGCGACCAAGGAATTGTTTTCCGTACGGACGTCATGGTTCGAGGCAACGTGTTGTTTGTTATGATATTTGCTACAGCTGAGGTAGCAGCTGCAGAGTGATTGACAGCGCATCTTACCAATCAGAATTGACGTTCGCCGACGTCAGATTGTTTTGGTGGCCTGGCTAGTGGAGTGAAGTCGGCCTTTACTATTGGTCAGAACTACATATGGAATGAAAGGCAGCGCCACCAACGAGGCGTTTTTGACGCTTGTCGAGTGAAAGCCCGAGAGCCGCACGGAACCAGCCAAAGAGCCGCATGCGGCTCACGAGCCGCGGGTTGGCCACCCCTGCACTACAAAGTATAGTAACACAGAAATGTAACATGTCGATTTTCTCAGCGGATAAAAAGGGGTACTATATTGTGACGCGTAATAATACGAGGAGCGCTACGTCCGCGCACTAACTCCAACAAGTCACGCTGCTTCTATTGACGAAAGTGAGCGGGAGTGAAGTCTTTGGGTGTTAGTGCGCGGACATAGCGCTCCTATATAGCCTATTCCTTTAAAGGCGCTATACCCGTTTCTGCAAGGTTTGAATGTTTAGCACCGCCCCCCAACTCGCTCAATGGCTTCTCATTTCCCCTACGCT